CCAAATGGCTAGAACCCAGGGTGATTGTTGAATAAAAACTAGTGGAAAAAATGTCATCCCTAAAACAAATCCAGACAAGCAGTTTCAGGAGGAAAAGCATGTTTGAATTAATATGAGTGCTCTGTTCAAACAAGACCGCACCCATGTTTAAATCTCTTATTTCTGTTTACAAGAGAACAAGGTGGCAGATGAAGGTTTGCTACTTGACATTCCAGAACACTTTTTCCTTAGCAATTGTTTTAGTGTATCCTTGTTAAACAAAGACTGAACAGGCTCAAACAAAAGTGGAATAATATACTTTCAACTGTATTTGATAGGCATGAATGAATAATGCTTTTAACTCTCTGACATTCAAAAGAAAAGGCTAAAGAAACTAAGATACGTTAAGATAAGAAAATCAAATGAAAACACTAAAAGATGGTTTCCAAATGGATGACTCTAACTATGTTGGCTTTCAAAACTACCAGCCTGTGACCACAAATGAAATCTTACACTCTGTGATAAAAGCAGCTTCAGGAGGGAAAAAAATAAATCTATGCAGTTGGGCATGAACCATCAATTTGGATGTGCAAGCACTGAATCACATTGCTGTGACTCACTAACAGGCAAACAATATCCAATCTAAGGTAAAAGTATCAAGTGCATGCTTTTAAGAGCCCAAGGCCTAAATCATAAAAGGCATTCAAGTACTTAAAAGAGGTATCAAGATTTTCTAAAGCATCCATAAGCCCAGCATCCTTTGGAAAAAAAACAAAACAGGTCATGTGGAACACCACTGGGAAACCAGGAGGAAAGGAATGTACTAATGTGTACCATCCAAAGGTGATGACCTAGTCCCTGGAAACTCAGGGCTTAAGTTGTCCAAAATAGGGAAGTTTGCTCCAGAACACACATTGAACCCCTGCATAATAAAATGATCTTTTGATACAAAATGTTCCAAGATAGACCAAATTATTATTATTTTTTTTTAAATGCTATCACAACAAAGGTAGCTTAGAATCCTATTTTGAAATTATGTTATCCAACCTAAGCACATAAGAGACCTATGGAGGTTTTCAAAGCAGGGACGACTTTAAAATTAGACCGCATTCCTCAAGGCCTTGTCCAGTGAGTTTTGCACGCCTCCAGCGATGGAGACTCCACAGCCTCTTGGGCAAGCTGTTCCACTGCATTACTCTCCTTGTTTCTCCCTTATATCTAATTGTAATTTCCTTTCCTGCAACTTGTGACTGTTGCATCTTGGCCTTCCAGTGCCTGCTTCTGAGAAGGGTCTGTTTTCCTCTATAACCCCTTTGCTGCAAAGGTGCACTGCTGACTCATGTTCCACTTATTTTCCATCAGGACCATCAGGTACTTTTCTGCAGGGCTGTTCCCCCCATCTTGCGCTGTTGAATGGCGTTGTTCTGTCATAAGTGCCAGAATCTGGATTTACCTTCATTGAACTTCATGAAGTCCCTGTTGCCCCATTCCTCCAGCCTGGCCAGGTCCCTCTGAATGAAGGCTCTGCTCATCAGAGCATCAACTGCTGTCCTCCCCGTTTTGTGTCATCTGCAGACATGTTGAGGGTGTAATTCCTCTTCTTCACCCACACTGTACAACCCAATCCTGTACTACTGCTTTGCTGTTCTGTTCATTATGTGCATTAACTTGTTCTGCATCATTTCCCGTCAGAATAGCTCCGTTCATCTAACATTAGAATAAACAGCACTATGGTAAAGAGAAACTTCTAAAAAAGTTCCTGGGCCAAATCCTTATCTAGTGTAAATTCCTTGCATTTCAAATCAGCTTGTACTAAACGAAGATCCAGGCTATTCATTCAAAAGTAAGAGTGCCAGTAATGTATTTAAAAATCATCAGGTCATTTATTATAGCTAGTTCTCAATGATGCATCTATTAGTTCACTGTTGGCATAAACATCTCCTGGAAGAGTACAAGAACTGGGCTGCTTCTGCCTCACTGCTGAGTTAGAACAAGCAAACAAAAACATGCCGAGTGTTTCTACGCTTAGATATATGTGCTTTTGAAGAAAGAATTCCTATTATTTGAATGCATTTATTACCAGCTGAGCCTTCCTAATCTCTAGATACCTCTTGGTCTTAGAAAAATATGCATTTTTACATGAAAATATTTTTTTATAATCCTTAAAATAAATTTCTTACACAACCGCGTAATCTTAAAAATACTCACAATGGGAGCAAAGTTAGAAAAACACTACCACCCATTAAATCCCCACCCTCCTGCGGTCCTTGACCATAAGCCGAGGCCTTCATTACAGCCTCCCTTAATTTGACCCAAGGAGCTAATACCATTTACTTGAGTTCACTTTTCATGACAGGAGCATTCAATATAGCAGACTTCCCTTGCAAGAGGGAATCAGAGACAAACAACAGTGCCTTTTCCATGACATCTATGCCTGATCGTTCAAGGTTCATAACAAAGTGTTTCACAAACAGGAGCCTGCTTCAAGTCAGCTTGCAAGAGGGATGTTAAATAAAGCTAGCTCATGCAGATTTAGTCAACTTCTTGCTCTTGAGTAGACTAGGAAATCAGAAACACGACATGTGAGATATTCTAATCATACTGGATATGGTAAGACTGCTTTCAGGTTTGACAGCTGATATAAAACACAACTATTCCAGGTCTCCTTTCACTGACACCACCTGTACCCTGCCCACAGCCAGCACAGCCAGGAGCTCGCTCTGATTTGCAGTGGTGAGAGCAAAGTGAGGCTTCAGTCCGCAAAACTGATCGTAGCAAAACTGGAATATTAGAACACGGATTTTTTTCTCTTAAAAGATTTTCCAAGATAAATCACTCTACAGTTTGGATAACGCGTGGGCTTAGCAGCGCTATCACCTTCACTGTTCCTGTAGGCACAATCCAGCCCTTTCAAGACTGACACTTGCTGTGCGGGATGAAAACAGAAGACCAGCCGGCAACCCGTTCTGCTCAGGGAGAGCGCTTGCCTCCTAGAGATCTGCGAGCATGGATCCATACCCTCCAGTGAATGTGAAATGGAGCTCAAGACAAGGTGAAATCAAACCTTACACCTGCTTCCAGTATTCCCAGTAATGCTTCCCAAAAGCCTGAAGATATCAAAATATGCTAAGTGGGTGCTCTGCAAAGAGATGGGTGTGGGGGGGTGGTGTGTATGCACGTGTGTGTGTGCCTAATCCAGGTCTGCTCCTGTGCAAAACTACAAACTCGTGTAGCCTCGGGCTCCCCAAGTCCTGGGTCTTGTCCAAGCCTGAAATCTGCTGAACGCACAAGTCAGCAACTAAGTTACAGTCATCGTCTTCTGCCACAAGAGGAAACTGCTTTTCTATGCAAAGCTCCTTATTTCCAGCAGCTCAGTGAAGCAGAAGGAAAGGATGGGGAGGGGGGGGCAGAGGCCGGTGGCGAAGGCAACAGTTTGTGCCCGTCACGCAACCCTGCATATGGTTTGAATGTGTGGATGAGCTGCTGCCTCTGTTCCTCCAGCAGTTATAATCCTATTAAAATGCTGCTAATTTAATTGTTTAAAAACCTACCAATCCCTAATAAACGTAAGGCGGTCTCCAAAGGAGTCCTTCCTGCAGACACACGTGTTTAACACAGTGCAACAACCAGCAGCATCAGCCCGGTCCCCTGATGGCTTTCCTGGCACAGGTTTGAAGCACATCTTGTTTATTGTTCTCTTTGCAAACCTCTGTGAGATGTTCGAAGTGGTTGGGCTCCTTGAGCCTCCAGGGACTGGGCTGCACCGGGTGCCCGGCAGACCCGGCAACTCCTACATTAAACAAACGGCGATCCCGGCGGAGGACAGTGTGAGTTACAGATAACGGCAGTCAGGACAGGCACGAACCATCCAAAGCAAACTATGTTGTCTTAAAAAAGCAATTCAGAGCAGCATTTGCTATTCAGACCAGTCTGATGTGTTTAAACAGAGACTCTCTTTAATGCACACACAAATGTATGTATATAAAAGAATCCTTTATAGGATGTATCCAGATGGGTATCCCTCCAACTCCCTGCTCCTTTTTCTGGATTCATTATGGTTTTTATTATTGCTATCACGCCTTGCTATACCCCATGCTCAAAACACCACACGTTTCAGGCTCTTTTTTCCTTACCATCAAATCAATACCACTTGCTGGGTAATCAGGCGACAAGCACATTGAAGTATTAAAGAACATAGCACCATTTCCAAACAGTACAACATGTAAAAGAATTTGGTAAATTAGTTTTTTTTTTACAAAAAATTGATCTTTAATGAGGAACTTCCTGCTACTTCATAGTTTTTCTTCTGTTTTTACTTTAAGATTAAAGTTTCTTTCTTCTTTTCTTGGCATATTATCAAGTTAAAAATACAATAAATTTATTTAAATAGAAATCTTTCCAAAAGTCCAATATTGTTAATCACATAATTTTTATTGAACTATCACTTTTTCTTAATAGTAATTCACACAAAGATATGTTAGTTTAATAATTTAGGTGAGTCTTTATTCAATCCTGTCATTACTCAGTCAAAAAAATCAACCTCATCAATTTTGCCTGAACATCAACTTCTGGATTTCGCCTTTGGAAACCAAACTTTCCTTTATGATAAATTATGTCTGAATAAGACAATGGACCAGAAACATAGGTTCATATATTTGCAGGATAAATGGAGCGTTTTTATAATACCTGGGTTATACTAGGAGGGTGGTTTTTTTATAGGAATTAAAAAAAACAAGTTTCCACATGCTGCGTTCCAGTTTTCAATATCCTGTATAATCATCCAAAACTAATGGGTTTCCTCATTTGTAAAACACCATTTGGTCAGACATTTGCCAGGCTTTTGGCTATTCTTTTTTAGTTAAACTGCCTACATTCTAGTATTTTAAAATAAAATATAATATACAGTGTTATTCCTCTCTTCTCTATTGTTTCATTGCTATTGCTTGAGCATAGGGATAATCTAAGGTGGCAAACAAACAGGACAAAGACTTGCAAAGCCATCAAATAAATATCATTCCTACCTCCAGCCTGGTCCTGTCCACATCCTTAGGCAATTTCACACGAACTCGGTTTGTTACAATAAGTGTTTTATAAGGATAAATCTGTTAAAAAGACAAGAGCATATGAACTCCAGCCAAATCTGACTCTGATGTGTGGAAATGACAGTGTGGGGAACTTACTAATTTAAGTGGTACATACTTGCATCCTGATTTGACAAATATTTCACTGGGACAAAAATTAACAAAATAAAATAAAAAAGGAACACAGGTAACCTTGCTAGGAAGTGCTGAATCTGATTGTTCTTCCAGTGTTGGAAAAGCCCTTCTTACCTTGTATTCTGCAAGAGAATGAGAACAGGTTCACAGTTTAGAATTTATAGGCTTCTTTTGGAGTCACCACAATGAACATCTAGGTACATCAGCATCTGTCATGCTACTACATTTCTCTCTTCTCAATAGTTGTTGGACAACTGCATGCACAGTAAGCATTTCACCCCCACGCTCTGAATGCCTACAACACTGGCTATTACCAAAGCAACAGGCCTTGACACCAAAGGCTTATTACAGAAAATCCATCTCCGGATGCCATTGGGTTACACAGTGAGTATGTCTGGCAAAATTGGGAATTTCGTTTTACAGGGGGCTTTTGTGCAGAGTTAAGTCAGTCTGTCATCCAAAAGTCCTGCCCTTATTGTTCTTTACTGAAAATAGTAAAATATATGGATTATTACAGGCATGTCAGTTTGGGAACATATATGAAAACCATGAAGTTAACACAATATTCTAAGATGCCAACATCCTGCACTTGGGCTGACGGCAGTGGCAGTAACGATAGCGAAGATGGTCTGAAGGTGCGAGAACAATGACTGGCACAAGAGTATTCTAGTTAGGTCAGTATATGACTATATGTGATATGACTACCACAAGTTCATCTATTCACAACGATGATTAAATGCAACCAGGATAGCCAGGATGTTTTCATAGACCTTTTTATGGTCTGAAATGAAACCAGAGGTAAGTCTACTTTTGAAAATCTGTGCTTTAAACTACTCAAACATAAAGAGAAAGATTTGTATCAACACAGAGGCATGAAGTGAAGCATGAGAGCAAGATTTATAAAACGAAATTAAGTGTCTTGGAAACAAAATCCTACTCTTCCCCATGAGTAGATGCATGTTTCTAAATTGCTCAGCTCATTTGAAAATTCCAACCCAAGTTCCATATTAAGTTCACAGTCCACTTAAACTGTAATAAAAAAAAATGAATGCAAATAAATTCTGATTTTTGAATTCTGTACATTTTAATGACACTCTAGCACAAACAAGAACAACAATGGACTTTTTTTTTTTTTTAATTAGATACGTCTTGAAGGAATGATTATCTTAAATTTCTTCCTCTCTTTGATATGAAACCACCACCACAGAGGCTGTTGACACATATTGAAGATACAGGAATTGACTCAGTCTGGTTGCATCACTTTATGATGCAGGGCTTCAGTCGGGCCTTTATGTTCAGTTAAATAAAAAGACTCTCTGTGATAAACATGATACTGAGTTGGGTCTCTGTCTAGTCATTATTACGTGAAGATCTCAGAATAGTAACCTTTATGGCAATATGTTAACGAGCATCCTCAAAGGAAGAAAACATGAAGTGGAGTGGAAATGATATTGCGATGTACCTTTCATCCCCCAGCTCGCCTCCTGGTCCGTTTCATATTGGCCCATATTTTCAGGCTGAAAGAGAAAGAAAGAAGCAATGTAGCAGCAAAATGCACCACAAAACCACTCTGCGCATTGTCGAGAGAAAAAAGAAAACCAGATGGTACACCACAATCAAAATATAGATCCTTGTGAGAGAGAAAGAGGATAAAGTCTCATTTGAACTTGACCTAATTGCTCAAAGCGGGCATCTCAAGAGTTCACAACACCCATCGATATACAATTGCAGAGATGGAGCTCTGCCTGTAGAAGAGGATGGAGTGCCAAGTGAGTGCCTGGGTCCTCGGAGGCACTGCAGGTGCAGTTTGCTGCCTACGCTGTGAACTTCCACAGACCAGTGAAAGCTGGAGCTTAGATGTCACTCAGAGAGGCAACTGCAGTGTCATATCAACCCACCTCACCCCTAAGCCCTTTGGACGTTTTCGAGCTCTGATTCCTCACAGCTTTCAATGAGATGGAAAGGCGTGAGAAAGCCACCAGCCACCCCAATTTGAAGACCTGGCAGTGAGGTAAGACTGAGATTGTCACACGCCTTTCCCTGTGATGCAGACGTCTTACTGCCATTGTCACAAATCACTTATGCTGCACTGAAACTTGTCTCATTCTGCTTTCTGCTTCACACTGCTGATGCCGCTAAGACCAGGGAGAACTCTGTATATGTCCCATAGCTTTGTTTGACCCACTGTCTCTTTCCTTTGCTGGCAAATGCTATGATGAAAAACATTACAGGAGATCAGAAAAGCACTACTATATGATTTTTTTCCCCCAAGTCTCATTTTTGCCTGTTAAGGTATCAACGGTGTGCACAGCTATGCTCACAATAACCTCCAAGGCTCCTTATTGTTTGGTTTTGGTTTATTTTGTTACGCAGCAGTGGGATGGCTGATTAAAAATAACAAACCACAAAAGCCGGTATGAGCCTGCAATCCAAACAGAGGACAGCCATTCTGAGAAGAATTTTGGCCTCAAGGATTTGACCATGAGCAACCTTTTCAACTTTCCTACAGTTTTCAGCAGGGAAGGTTGGACCTTTTAGGCGGGACAAATGCTGCCATCTGCTGCTTTCATACTACATCGCAGGGCTTCAGCCTGCAGGCGCGGCCAACTCCACTGCTGATGGAGTTTGCTTTGGCCTCATCCGTGTGCAGCCTTCTGATGGCTTTGGTGCCCCACCAGCACAGAGGCTGGGCGCAAGTCGGTCCCTCGCTCGCTTCAGGTTACTGGTGATAGTTATTCTGAAAAGTCAGAAAAAAGCTTTTGACTCATAGCGGGGGGACAGGATTATCTAGACCCTCTCAAATTCCTAAATCTCCTTCGATCAACTTGCACCGCCACTGGTTCCTTCAGAGAGGAATTCAAGCAGTCGGGTACTGAAGCAACACAGGCACAATTATTCTTGTAATATTAACTCAAAGGGATGGACATTTCAGTAGCTACTGAAAAATTCATTTAGCTACCCTCTGACAGTTCCTTTCTTGTAGCTCCTTCCAATGACCCACAGTTTAACTCTTAGCACTGGGGAAGGTTAATCCTGCTCATGTACTTCTGCAGCTTTCACACCTTCCTTTGGAGAAAGGAGGGAATTTGAATGAGGCCCTGTCCATGTAATTCAGACACAAATCAATCTTCAAAATGTAAGTGCACATCCATCTATGTAGTGCCAACTTAACACTATTAACCATAATGGGTTTGTATCTAAAAATATAAGCCATGAACTGAGAACCCATAATGCAAGATACCAGAGAGAAAGAGAGACAAGAGTGTCAAAGATGCCATTTTCCCAATGACTTAAAAAAAAATTATAAAAAAAGAGTAGAAAAAGAGCACCTAGTCTGATCCGTTCATAATTTTGTTATGCATTTGCTTTCTACATTGCTGCCTGCCTTTCTCTCTGTATTGCTCCCTCCTCTCCCTAAAGGTATGATGACTGTGTGTGTATATACCTATATATGTATACACACATGCATACTAGAAAAAAACAGAACAGATGATTCAAGAAATGCAATGGATGTGGGCTGCTCCACCTTTGCTCTAAGATCATTACTTGCCTACTTAGGCCTAACTCTCCCTAACATTAATTCAATCTACGCTGTGATTTATTAGTCTGTGCAGCCTGTACACTTTGGACCTCTGTTTGTTCTGGGAGGAGAATCAAGATTCCTAATGCTTATGATGCACACAATTAAAAGGAGAAGCCTCAGTCTGTCTTATTCTTGCAGACAGACAAACTGTAACCCACATAGGGTATGAATCTGTCAGACAGGGCTGGCAGCCAAAACACCTTTGAAGCGTTATTACTGTGTAGATTTTCAACTAGTTACCAAGCTGTCTATTTATGCTACACTATGGCCTGGAGAATGCAGTTAAATGTATACCTACCTGATGTAAGCCATTCTTTCCATAGCCAGGTAGAGAAGCTGATTTAGCATATGGAAATCCTGTAAAAGACACAACATACAGCTATATTTTTTTGTAAATCCTTTACAGCCTACTAGAACACAGAATTCAAGAAAACATCCAGAAACAGAAATTACAAGATCAATATGTACATTCTATTAACAGGATCAAATATAACTGAGCAACGCTTATCTTTTCTCCATATTTAATGTACACGAACATGTGTAACAATGTCGATAAATAACAGCATGCCAGGATGCAATCACCTGACCGGGCATGACATGAAGAGAGTTGTGGGACTCATGTTATGGAGACCCTTATGCAGCTTCATGATGCAAAGCAGATTTGAAAGCTTGTGAAACCTCTGCCCTCCAACTTGGTGTTAAACCATGACTTGAAAATGGGATTAAAGGTACCATCATTTTAGAGTTATATCACTTCTGATCATGATGTATGTGGTCTGGTTTTGGTTTTGTTTCTTAAAAAAGAAGGGTTGGTATACTACCCCTTAAAAAAAACGACAATTTTTTTTTTTTTTTTTTGCTTCCTTTAAAACTTCTTGTACTGCTTAAGTGGAAAAAAGCATAAATGAAGGTATGGCAATTGATAAAGTAAATCAGTGAGAGTATAAACACTCAAGAAGAAGTAAGTTTTAAAATAGACAATAGACAAAATTGGCAAAGTGGTGTTACCACGAACAAACTGGATGTAATATGGCGATGAAACTGTGTGCGGTCACTGTGAAACAACCGAAGAACCTTACTTTTAATATTGAGAGTTTAATAAGAAAGTTTGGAAGTTTTGTCGGTGAAACAACAAGAAGTGTTTCAAATTAGTTTTTGGTTAATAAAAATAATGCTGTACAGAAGTGACAAACTAAATCAGTTTAAATTAAACAGAAGATCAAAAAACACATGTGTAATAAACATTCTTGATTCCTGTAGAGGAAACTTTGATAAATTGATGCAAAGAGTTACAGAAGTCAGTTATCTCAAAGGACTGAATGTACAATGCTTCATTCTGTCAAAAATGTTAGCAATCTCCAAAGGAGAATGCAGGAAGGGAATCCAGACCCCGCTGGATTAATAAATACCCTAAGGAGATGATTAGGAATAAGCATGCAGAAAGAAAAAACAAAAGATGGATCAGCAAAGAGCTCACGATGTGCTGAGATAAAGCGAGAACTGCCAGAAGCCAAGCTGAGTTAAACACTGAAAATAATATTAAAACCAGTAGCAAAAGGTTCTCCAGCTATCCAAATAAAAGGAGAAAAAGAAAAGAAGAAATAGGATCACGGGGAGTTACGCTATGTCAGTACACAGCAGAGATGAAAGGTAACCTAGGTAGGGCTCCAACACTGAAGGAGTATTTCACCTCTGTTTTTAGGAACAAAAGATAGAGCACTGAGCAAGGAGGGAAAGCTGATGAAATAAGGGTATACCAATGAATCATAGTAATGATGGAAACATAATTCAAAGCACTTATATACTTAAACAGGGAGTGATAAGCTCCTAGCAAATTGCAAGTCAAATATCTCTTACCATTGGTGAACAGCAACTATAGCTTTTATATTTAAGAGGGGGAAAGATAATGAGGAGTTACCAGTGCTTCCAACAGAAAACTTAAGGAAAAACTGAACAAAAACATCAAAGTAAATGGAAAATTAATCATAATGAGAAAGATTTTAATTGGTTTTACCTAAGTTAAAGGCACAGTGCTAGACTTGCTTGGTAGCTTTGTTTGTTAAGAGAAATGACTTCTGCACAACATCAATTTTATTGGATCTCATCTAGTATGATATCATTACAATGTTTGATATTTGGCCACACATGGAATTAAACACAAGTCTGGAAAAGATGGAGTTTATCAGAGGAATTGTAGGGTCAGTAAGGAAACAATGAAATGTAAGAAATGGGTAGTGAGAACTGAGCAGAGGTGATAGAGAAAAGTGTCAGCATGGACTGGTGTTGAGCTGAAATTGCCTCATGTTTTCACTAATAATCTGGACACCAAAAATATTAATGGGCTAATAAACTTCCCTGCACTGCCAGTATAGAGGAGGACTGGGATATCATAAAGAACTGGGATAACCTTGAACATCAGAGTAATAGAAATGCAATAAAATTTAATAATTCATGGGAAAAGTTGTGCACTTGGGGACTAACAAATACCCCAAACTTCTACTATTTAAGCTGAGAGCTCATAATTTGGAAATGCTGGGGAAGGAGACAGGCTTAGATATACAGCTCAATCACAAGATGACCTTGAGTTGGTAATATAAGCAAAAAACCCCCCCCAAATTCGAAATGTCTGTCCTGATACATATAAGATATGGAAATAATAGTATTTTCAGGCAGTGACGGGAGATCCTGGAGGAATCCTTTGTGCTGTTCTTGTTCATCAGTGTTCTACCAAGTCAAATTAACTCCACCAGACCAGTGGCTTACAGGATATCTGGGACGATGAAAGCTCATTGCAAGAAAGAAGGCTTGATAAACTTACTTATTTAAGCTAGTAAAATGAAGATGATCTATAAAAGCAAGAGATGTTTTAGAAACATAATCAACCACCAGCTAAGGAGGAGTATGAACTGCGAGCAGAACTTTTGTTTTCAGCCCCACAGGAGGTTTCCACATCTGATACAGGGACATAGTGATGAATACTGAATTAGATGGATCACTTAGCTATTTCAGTTTGGAAACTAGAAACTTATCATTGGCTGTTATTGGAATGGTAGTGACACCAGAGGGCAAAGAGTATAATACCTGTGAGATCGAATGAATGTATCTGCAACAAAACTACCATCACCTCTGCTCCTGCCTGGAAAAAGATGCTCGTGTTGAACATCAGTGTGGAATTCTGCTTCTTGGCCTCTTGGCTACAGAGAAGATGGGTGAGACAGTTTTGTTCTATAGCCAAATAATACTACGCAGTCACTAAAGAGAAAATGCACTAAGGTCAAGGCCAGTTAGAAAACAAACCAAATTCACTTTAGCACGCCGCAGCCGAGGAGCTGCCAGCGCTGAGCCACATCCGCGGGCACAAGCGACATCGTGTGGCCGGCTGGAAAAAATCCAAGAGGCAAATGGAGCCGAAATAGCTCAGAACAAGCTAGCAAGACTCACTGACTCCAGTGGGAACTGTATTTCACTTAGCTTCTGTTTCCCACGAACTTAGTTGTAAAGTTAAACACGTTTTATTTTGCCGCTTCTTTTTTTTTTTAATATAAAGAAAAAATGGAACATCAAAAGCCAACAACCACATACTGCTCATTATCACATCCAACTGCAGTCGTACCATTAACAGTAAATTTTCTTGAGTAACTGGCCGAGATAAAGCAATCTTTCTCTCTAAGTAGGCACTATCTGAACAATAACTACTCTCAGCATGGCTACGGCTCCTGCTGTTTCCAGTATGACATTCACTGTAACCTGGATATTCTGAGCTTGCCTCTCAGTACACCAGTGACACAGGAACAGTAAGGGTTACACACCTTGCTAGATGCCTGCTTTCCTAAATACGTGACACTTAAAATGATGAATTATGGTAAATTATTAACTATTAAACATCTGCGTATACAGACACATCTACAAACGAGACACATTTACACAGGTGGATGTAAGGGGATGCAAGCTCCACTCCAGATGCCTGCTTATGACACAAGCCTCATTCTGATGTGCTTTGTTATTTAATGCATTCTTCTGGGCATATAGCTAACAACTGTGGCTAAATATCTTCTAGAGCAGAAAACCCTTCTCTGGTTTGCTCAGAGCCTGGACAGATGAACACTGGGCTGTTTGCACAGTGTGTTTGGACACACCAGAGATTCAAGGTCTGATGCTGGCTAACCCCCTTCCACTCTGCCTGTAACCCCTTGGCACCAAACCTATACCTGAAAAGTTTATTTTCTCTGATACTCACTGACTATGCTACAGAGATGGGGCTGAATGTCAGAGTTCTCAACCATAAGTGCAAGAGGCAGAGAAGCTACTCTTCCATGGCCAACGGGACATATGACAGACTATAAATATTCAGAACTAAATAGGGGAACAATGAGTAGAGAAGGAATTCCTTAGGATGTCCAGGGGTATTAAAAGAGTCAGATAGCTGAATAAAATCATAAAGAAAGGGAAAAAAAAAAAGAGAAATGTAGATGTCAGGAAAAGAAAACTTCCTCAATGTCATTTCTGTGTAGCTGCTAATTGGGTAACAGGGCCAACTTTCATGAGAGACAGAGAAGCGCTGACAAAAGCAACGGAAAAAGAACTACACAAGCTATATTGCATTGGCGCAGAGGGGATATTGACCCTGACAAAGGTGTGAACCATCTTTTGAATTTCTGTTTTAATAGCTCTACATTCCCAAGATAACCAAAAAACATAGAAGAAATGCTTGTATAGACGAGTGACAGGTATAGCAATATTCTCCTGAAAAAAACCTGACGCATATGGTTTTCCTGTATAACAGTTCTTGGTAAGCTACATACTTCTCCCTACTTAAAATTTGCACGCAAGGACTGTTCTCTCAATACATATGTAGAAAAGCATCAGATAACTCCAGAAAGCTTCCAAAAATACCCGATATGCACATTACAACAGAAGGTTTAGGTGTTCATTTCTGGGCAATGACTTAGAGATGTTAGGTGCGTGAGCTGGTCAGACTTGGTTTCCCTTGCACAGGGAATCCTACAATACACCTCGTGCACATGTATGCAATGTCTGGTGAGGACTAAGGAATCAAATCCCTTCAAGTTAGACCAGTGAGACTGATGATCGAAAATAACTCTTCTTTATCTTGTTACAGCCTCGTGACAGACTTCGTAGCATCTGTTTTTCCTCTTCCTTGCATAGCTAAGCCATAATTTCCTTAATATAAGTTGATGGAGCCAGCTATCACTTTACCAAAATGCCCACAAGACTGACATCCTAGCCCTGCTGCCAGACATGCCACGCATTGGATGCATTCTTTTGGAAAACTGCTTCCCCAACTTGTTTACCCCAGATGACCTGGTACTGCTGCATGGTCTAAAGTGGAGGAGGCAGGGAGAGAAATGGCCCAGTTATCTGTTAAAATTAATTTAACCTATTTTTTGTCATTTATATAGTCGAAAAGTAAAGTTCAGACTCAATTCTGATGATCATTTCCTTCACCTCCTGACTGCTGAAATGTGGAATAAGAAATGTGTAGAACACACTTTTGGTATTGACAGCAAACATGGACATACGGTCTTCAGACCAGTATTTAGCAACAAAATCATCCCATTATTCCACCTGGTTTCTCTATGGCTTATATATCTGGAAAGTTTCTGTGAACAGGCATAACTGTGAGAAATAATTAAAAAAGTCTATTCCAAATCAATCTATGGAGCAAAGTGTTCTTTACACTTTGTCACGATAAAGAAGAAATAGCCCTACTAATATTCAAAACACGTAGTTTGTATCAAGGAGTAATTAGCACAAATCAACCATCTGCCTGATACTACCATCCTGTCTATTGGAAACAGGTAGCAGTACTCACGGGAGTAGCCGGCAGTCGTGCCCTCCTGCGCCCTTGGGAAGTTTTCTCTGTCAGTTCCAGCAGTAAGAGACAGGGACCGGGTGTCTGAATCCGGGGAGTTAGTTCTGGTGTCCATATCCCCTTTCAGAATAAGCCAACTGGTCTTTAGCTGGAGAGAGTACAAGCCCGTTACAGGATTCAGGATTTAACATCTGAATGCAATTCTCCTTCTTCGCCTGCCTGGGAAGTCTTGTGAACCGATTGTGCATTTATGCTCATTGCAACTTGTACCAGCCTTTACCAAATGATTAAAGTTGACTATATCATGGGACTCCCCATTAGATGAGACAGCTACCAAAAACTTTTAACTTTCATCTGGGCTGAGGATAGTTTTCCTGTTAATTAAGTTGCCCACTGCACACCACTTTACAAGATGCACTATGCTGTTTTCTTATAAATAATCTTCTGTTAACATTTTTCTTGTATGTTAATATGCACCCTAAATAAAAGTCCACAGGCTTAGCTGAATCACCAATGTCTATATTAAGACTGAGTGAAAATCCATGAGCTTACTGCTCTTGTCCCTGTTTCTTTCTTTACTGAAGAATGTAGATTCTAAACCCTCTGGGTGAGAGACTAAGCTTTTCTATATCTTCTTGGTAAAACTCAAACTAGTAATGATTATTTCAGTTATATGAAAGAATACCTTTATGCATGAACATGTTTTTAAAAAGTCACTTCAAGAAAGATCAATAAACTACTCCCTTTTGTTCTTTCTGATCATTACCTTCTTACTGTCCTGATCCAAGCTTCCATCCTCCCCTTCTGATCTTCTTGCTGCTGGAAGATTAAGTTAATTTTAAAAATTAGAACAGTTTACATCTTTTTTGTCTTCTGTTTTGACTGTGGTTATGTTTCAAATATTTTTAAGAGGGGGAAAAAAACAAATTAAAAAACCCCAAAACAGCTGGGCAGAAAATTCAATGTGTAGAGCTATGGTTTCACAGAATTACCTAATATCATTTTGAAATTACTACAGTAATACTCTTTCTTCAAGCATACAATGAATTTAGACAATCTTTTTCAGAAGAAAACGCGTTTGAGGAATGATTGGTGGGAAAAAATCTACATCATAACTTAGGGACAGATTTATATAGTGTCTGCACACAGCAGCAAGGCATTTTCCCATTCTCCTGTGTTACCATGACCATGAAAGTACACATGGTTACATAGATATTTTGTCATCTGCACACCTGGATCTCCTATATTCCCTCAAAGGACAGGCAATGATGGTAAAGAAGATAGGAACAAATTTGGTATTACCTCTTCACGAAATCTGCGAGAGGCCGCCAGACTCTGAAATTCACAATTCTGTGACCAACCACTTTTCTGACTATATTGCCCTCTTAAAGAGTATTTTAATAAAGAAATATTGCTGATATTTTACTGTTGGTTTATTTTCTTGTAACTTTCCAACTTGCTGAGAAGAAAAACTCAAAACTGAAAACCTAAAAGCTATTAATTAGATAGTTCCCAACCATCATGTGTGGTTTTCCTTGTCTTTTATGTTCCAGGCACTGAGTTACACTTCAGAATCTTACAGAAATATTTCATGCCAAATTTCACATCATTTCAGATAATGTCCCAAAATTTGAGTCCTACTTGCCTTTGTACCACTCTATGTTGCTTTGGGGAGAGTTTTATGGTACAAAACTGGAGTAATGCAATGATCTAGCATAATTTTAAGTCCATGAGAAGTCATCACAACAAGGGGATTGTCTGCAATGCCCGAGTACAAAGGCAAGAGCCCCATGCAACACAATGCAGCCAGAAAACATATTTATTAATAATAAAAATAGTATGATAATACAAAAGATAAGGCTCAGATTAGATTCTCAGAGACAGAGGTGAGGAGAAGATAAAGTTGCACCATTAGAAGTGCTGCAACGCTCCCAGCAAGCTGGGAAAAACTCTGCCCTCTCCATTTCCCCAGCCAGCATCTTTGCAGAGGATCTGCCCTGCATCTAAACAACATGGGCAAAAGGCCACCACCATTAGCATTTCAGTGCTATCCAGTTTTATTTTCTGGTGCCATTACACAGCTCACATCTAGACCTTAACTGGTTTTCTTGAGGAGGTGATACTTAAAAAATGACAAATTGCAATAAGCAAAAAAATCTGTGGGTTAGGGGTGAAAATCTAACTGTAGAAGTGTTTTTTTTTCCTCAATTTAACGTGGCAAAACAAAGCTGGGTCACAAAATAACAACAGCATTATGAAAAAACTCAAGGTTTTTTACAGTTAGCTAATAGCATCCTGACAAGGGCATTTTCCCAAGATGGCAAGCTGCTTCTCTGAGAAAGAAAGAGAAAGAAATATCCATATATGACAGATGAAGAATAAAGTCCCTACATTGCAAGAAAGACTTAAATCTGGTTCACTGGTATTTTGGGAGCATATCTTAAACCACCAGTCAACAAGTTGTTTCAGATTATACATACGAATCTTGCTCTCACTAAATCAGAAATCCATACAGAGATTCTGATGCATTTTTGGAAATTGTTTTTGTTTTAGGATGCAGTTGCTTTCAAAGGAAATAAATGAGTTTAATCCAAAGCATTATTTAGAGATTTGCAATGTACCACAGGATCTTGAGAGCATCTGACTTCAAAACAGTTAAACAGCAAGGTTTTATACAGAGATGCAGAGGAGTACAACGAAAACCAAGAGGGGCCATGAAGGCTGGCCCCTCCCAAGTTCCTGAGAGTGCTTTTGCAACACATGCTTGGCAAATAAATCCAAGTGGTTTGAATTTCATCAGTACTGAGCATCAGCTTCACTGCTACAAGGGATACTCGGTTCTGCTGTGAATGCCAATGTGAACTGCTTGTTTCACACGGATCGGTGCTAAAGTTGCTGAAGAGCAAACCTCTGCAATTTTTTTTTTAAACTTTGAACTATGTTCAAACATTTTTGAAACATGAACACACACAAAACAACAACCACACAGGGTCCCGCACTCTTCACTTTCCGACCCCAGCTCTCAGCCTGATCTCTCACATGTCCCATTCTTCCACCACTTTTTTTTTCATTCTGAAGTTGGGTATTTATAATAGAAACACAGAAGCTGTAGCTACAGCAAATCTGTTGGGCACTGCTGTAACTGAAACCTTTCAAAGCCAAATGTTCTGGAAGAGCTTCTTGCACTTTTTGTTTTAAAGAACATTTTTGTGCTTGTTTGTTCAAACTTGGTCTCTGCAATGAAGGAATGTTCTCTGGCTCCTTTTCATCATGTACCAGTTCAGTGTCCTATTAGCTTGCGGACCTGAATCATCAGCTGCTCGTGCGTTCACGCTTTAGCTGGGAGTTCTTCCAGAATAAAAGGTAATTTTAAATTTTTTTTTTTATTTTATTGGAAGGAAAGTTCATTGATTTTTTTTTGGTTTTGAGTTACAGTAAATCATGTAAAAATGACCGTGTATTTTCAACATAACTCTTCAGAACATCTATAATCTATAAATGAAAGTTTAAAACCTATATCCATATTAACTCATTGAGATTGCTGACTTGATAATTTAATTCTCTGCTCACTCAAGTGATTACAAGGAAGAACTCCACAGAGCAGAGCAAAATTGACATAAACCAGACTTTGACTCCATATCTGAAGGAGGATAATTTATATAAAAATGCCTGGCATGGAACAACAAAAAAAGCTGCTGCTTAGAATCCTCTTTGCAAACCAATAGTATCTATAAAATTAAATGACACAGCCAGGATACCCTTTTTTGCTCAGCCTGAGTAGTTGCGTCAAATGATTTGTATATCTAAAGACAAGGAGGAGTTAGAGAGCTTGGGCAGACTGTAAGGTTGGCAGATTACATTAAATCAAGCACTAAACCAGATACTTTTTTACTATCTTTTTGCCTTAAGGGTAACATTAGTTTGTCCAAGATTAGGACACTGTGAGCAGAAAATGTATATCAAAGACCAACACCTAAAGTGCACCGAAACGTCAGCAAGTCTGACTTTGTTCAAAACCCTGCCCAGAAAAACCACAGAAGTTATCTAAATGTGGATGATTTGAATGTGCAGTCCAGTTACTGTGCCGAATGAAGCACCAGTTACTGTGAACGTGCACAGCCTGACTCACTCAGTTGGGAGACATCAGTTGACAATTTTCTTTCTCCTATTACTGTATCAGTTCCAAGCTAGAACTTAATCTAAAACAGAAATAACTGTCATTTTCCATGAAAGATAGTTAAAAAAAAAAATAAATAAAAGCGTCATTTTAAAAACTATGTTAATTGGGTATTTGAAAATCAGTTAAAGCCCCCTGTTACCACAAAATAAAAATATGTAAAATGTATTTTCCTCACTCTGGCCATGAAGCCAGGGATGCATCTGCAGTTCCGTAACCTTTCACTCACAGAAACTTATCAGCTACCAGCTAATGACAAAGTATGGGACAACAGACACATGGAGCTTTTTCAGTCTTACACAGAACATGGGAAGTCACTTCTGTGCGGACAGTGCTGCAGACGGTAATAGGATGGAAGGAGCTGCTCCAACAGAGATGCTACTCACAGGCAAAGACCAGACCTTTCCTTGCCATGAAGAGCGGCAGAGCTTCACTCTCCCATCTGCATCCCCAAAGATACAAGCTTTCATCCCCAAAGTGCCATAGCTACTCCTCACTGTGGGATAAACACCTCTCATGTTTATTTTATTCTCTCATTTATTCCCAAGGGGAGTAATCATTATTAAAATACAAATTTTGGTTTGGGGCAGATTTATATTCACAGAATCATAGAATGGTTTAGGTTGGAAGGGATCTTGAAGATCATTGAGTTCCAACCTCCCTGCCATGGGCTGGGACACCTTCCACCAGACCAGGTTGCTCAAAGCCCCATCCAACCTGGCCTTGAACACTTCCAGGGATGGGGCATCCACTACTTCTCTGGACAAACTGTTGCAGTGCCTCACCACCCTCAGAGTGACAAATTTCTTCCTGATATCTAATCTAAATCTACCCTCTCCCAGTTTGAAGCCATTACCCCTTGTCCTATCACTACATGCCCTTGTAAGAAGTTCCCCTCCAGCTTTTCTCCCTTTTTAAAAATGGGAGTTATGCTTCCCCCTTTCCAGTCAGTGGGAGCTTCACTGGACTGTCACAACTTCTCAAATACGATGGATAGTGGCAACTTCATCTGCCAGTTCCCTCAGGACCCACAGATGAATCTCATCGGGTCCCACGGACTTGTACACCTTCAGGTTCCTCAGCTGGTTTTGAACCTGGTCTTCTCCTACAGTGGCTGTTCCTCATTCTTCCAGTCCCTGCCTTTGCCTTCTGCGACTTGGGTGGTGTGGTTAGAGCCCTTACCGGTGAAGACTGAGGCAAAAAAGTCATCGAGTCCCTCAGCCTTGTCCATGTCCTGGATGACCAGGTCTCCCGTTTCCTTCCTGAGCAGGCCCACATTTCCCTAGTCTTACTTTTCTCACGGACATACCTATAGACTGCTTTATTGTTGCCCTTGATGTCCCTGGCCAGATTTATTTTTGTCCTTTGCTTCTGAGTACAGGAGTACCCCAGTGATAACTCTTAATCAGAAGTGTACTACTGCACTTTTCAGGCACCCTACTGCAGCAGAATCCATACATATTTGCTTTAAAGATTAATAATACAATTCAGTTTAGAAAAATGAATTCTGTATTACTAAGCCTGTATCATAAACCAAGATCATTGTCAAACATCACTGAGAACACAGTAGGAACCAACACCAACATGGAAATTCCAATTATGTTAATCAGTGAATTACACAGCAATAATAATAACAGAATAATGCAAATTTTATACTTCTGTTTTTTGTATTTACTAGAGTCTTCAGTCAGATTCTCACTTCTCTCTTCTATAATAGATTCCATATTTCTGTCTGTTGTTTAAAAACTCAGACACCAATTTTGTTGCTGGGTTTACCAAAGTTTTTCCAATCATATCTTGCCAATGTTGTCAGCTACTGAAGTTGTTCCTCACTGCCACAGCATGATTACATTTCCTACTGATATTTTATATCTTGAAGAACTTGCAGATGAAAAGTAGATACTTCATATAAACCACTTATCAATGAACATTTTTTTCCCCAGCAATGTGGAAGTCAGAACTATTTACAAAAACTAGATACCCCAAGATATGGTCTGAAAAGAGAAGAGCAACCTCCTACATTTACATGCTTTATGTCATTTCATAAATAAGAAAACTGCTTTGAAGTTACTATCAGCTCTGAATTACCAAGACGAATCAAAATATCATTACCCTGGTTTTAGAGAACTTACTGAACCCTTGGATATCATCTTATACAAAATGCTATTTAATTTTCACATTACTTTTTTTCCTTTTCTGTTTGAGATTGTGGGGACATAATGACATGCAAAGACTACAGCAAACTAATTCAGAAGTCAATGTGCATTTCTTTACAAAGACATGTAGAGAAAAGTGCAACAGAGAAAAGCAGACTGTACCATGCTGTTTGTAGATAGGAGGTTTCCTATAGATGTTATCTTTTACGCCAGTGTCTGAGGAAAAGGAAAGAGAAAGGAAAGAATAAAAGAGTAAGCAAGCAGTTCTTACTGAGAGCATGCTGCTCTTGTCTCCTCTCAACAACACTAAAAATGCAAACACTTCAGCAAAGACTATGCATTCATTCTGTGGTTTGTCATTCACTATTTATTACAAGAGAATGAAGCCTTACCAACATCTTTATATATTTAAAACATTGGCTATACCTACCTATGCGGCATAAACCCCATTAAGTCCCTTGAAATGCTTTAAGACACCTTGAACGACACCCATTTGCTGAAACGTAGGTGGTTACATCTGCACTACCAATGTATACTTCATAGGCAACAAAGAGAAACTGGCTACGCTTGTTACTACTTAAAATAAAATCCATATACAGGTACAACAGACAACAACAGTCACACTTGAAAAGGGACTTTCTCCATTAATTATGAAGAAAGTGTACATGGTCAGATATAGATGTTTATACTGGAAATGCCCAATATTCTTACAGGAAATTCTATAGTTTGTCTATATTTTGAATTGTATAGCTAACCTGGACTTCCAGGAATATTTTGAAAGCTCCCAGAGACACAGTCGAGGGTTCCCATATCATGTTATACAGACAACAGATTTACTTAGCACTACAGACTTAAGCAGATAGAATTCCTAATTACAGTGTGTTTCCAGAAAAGTTAACCCCGGAAGCTAAACATTCCACTGAGGTGGCAGATGTGGTTAGCAGTCAAAAATCTAAACAGTGTGGACATAAATTGTGCTTGCTGACTGAATGTGAACTTATAAACGGTATAGTACACGTGCAAAGACACAACCACAGTGAGCCTCCTGGAGGTCTAAAGTCTTCCAGCTACTTAAAGTCTATGCTAAAACGCCTCTTTAATTTAGAGAGTAGATGGATAAGTAAAAAAACAAAGAACCCTTCAGCCTTCTTTCCTGCACACAAATTCAACTGACCTATGCAGCCATGGCACTATAATTAATTATACCTTTGTTGACTTAATAACATTGGTTACTGTCTGCCTCCAACGAATTTTTTTTTATATATACATAATCACACAGCTCTCTAACTCCTTTATTTCTGAGACCAAGTTTAACAGTTAACAGATTTTTCACTTATCAGACATTTTCTTTTCTTGCAGTTCGAAGTTCACAAACCAATGCCAAAAAAAATTTACATTCAGAAGAGAATAAACAGGTGCCAGCAATTGAAGATCAAAAGCTAAGCAGTGAATGCCTACCTGGAATATGGAAATGCCTAGGAGCCTGCTGATAGACAGAGGGTGAAGATTTGCTGTCTGAGTACATGGATAAGCTTGGAGTGCTCCGACCACTTTCACTGCCTCCAAGGGGAAGAGCAAAGAAAGCAGATAAAAGAAAAATGGAAAGCAAAGTAGAGTATTTCAAGCATAGAAGCTTGTTCAGAATGACTTGTTAATCCAACAGTTTTAAAGATATGTTTTTTGTAAAACCCATTATGTTTCAGCACAGCGTATTGGCTCACTCTCCAAACATCTCATCAGTAATGACTATCTAATATATAACAGCAGATTAAACTGCCCCACTTTTAAACTAAAGCTTCTCTTTTAACAACACTTGAACGAAGAAAATAAAAGGATAACAACATCCACAATCTTGTAATGTGTTTTGCATAACCTTAACTGAATAATCTATCAATCAAGTTTTTGAAAAGCTTAATGCTATGGCTCATAGTCTGCCCCTGAAACCAGTAATGAAATCATTCAGTAGTGTTTAAATTATCTCAAAGCAGGACTAGGCCAAAAAACAGATGTTATGGTTAAGTCAAATATTCCTGCACACATCAGTGACAAAACCAGATGTTGAAATTTGGTTCTTAATTGCAAACTTTTCCAACAGGTAACATGCCACGGCATATTTATGCAAACAAGGTTGGATTATCAAGTCATGGATCTATAATGCCATAGTCACTTCACCAAATTTCATGATATACATAAGACTGATCTGTATTCATCTTCTCACTTGTTTTTCAAATGCTCAGTAGGTGCCATTCATTTCCTCTTAGCTGATTTCCCTGAAGCACACTCTATGGCATTATAGTGCTACTTGGCAAACAAAAAAGTAAAGCTCTACTTTTTTGGGACTTGTAAAATCCATATAATTTACAGCACTGTTAAGCAACTGGAAGCCAAACATGACATTTATTCTAACATAAAATGGTTGTTAATTTGCTGTTATTGTTTTAGTGTGGATAGAGCACAAATTTAATGGCTAGTAAGGATGAAATTATAGCAAGTGTTTTGGGGGTAAAGAAAGCGCAGCAGCTCAGAGCACTAGATCTGTAACTGAGTTCTGCCTTCAGGGAGAGGAAGTTTTATAACCATAAAACTACTGGATTACCATTACTGTCTAGGCCATGCCCATGTAGGTGGTCTCTGCTGACCCCTTGCCTCTGTTAACAAGCAGTGGACGCATGGTCATCAGTCTGTCACCAAAGCCAGCCTTGACATGCACCACTGAAGTCAACTGGATAGTGCCGCTGAGTTTGACAGGAGGAAGAGCAGGCCAGACGAGGTCAGAAGAGCATGCCGTGTATCTCATGCTGATTCACTAACTAATCTGTTCTAAATTTTGCGGCTGTTATTTTCATAGTTGGTGAAAAACTAAAACTAAAAAAACTAAAACTCAAAAACTATTCAGCCATTACCATTGTGTACTTAATACCAGTGATTTCTCATTGAGAAAGAGCAGTTGAGAAAGTGAAATTACAACTGCACACGCTCACAGCCTATGCTAGTTCCAAAAAGTAAGGGAAGGATTTTGGCATTACTGAAAATCTGGTGCATCACCACCAGCTTGCAGTCAAGTTGTCCTCAGACAAGGAACCAGACCATTATTCAGTTTTTTGATTCCCGCTTTGCTCTTGGAAGGGAAGAAGTGGTGACAGGTTTTCACTGCACATTTGTTAATTCCCTCTTTCTTTGCTGCCTGCTGCCAACGCTTGACCATCCCTACTAAATGGAAGAAGCCTCAATGTCACTCCAACTTTGAATGCAAACAGCAGTGCTAGACATTTAAGTAAGGTCCTTTAAAAGGCCAATAACCTTAGAAATCTTCATCCCAAAGTGATGCTACTACTGGATTTTTTTCATTTAAAAAGAAAAGGAAAGTTGTCAAGTGATTTTCAGTGTATGAATTCCTCATTTACTTAAAATTAGTGTATTATTAAAACCTCATATTCATATATGACTTGCATGAGCTATTACTTCATTGAACAGTGACCCCCAGGTGCTGGCATTGTACACACAGAGAGATTCATTCTTCAGGGATAGGGTAGGGTGTCAGTGGGGAATTAGGACGAAGCATTGATTAAGAGGAATAAACTTGTAAGAGAACAGAATGCAAGCACAAGTACCAGGGGACAGCAAACCCGCAAACTGCTCAATGCAAGGATCACCTGGGTGGAGCAGTTTGCAAAGCCATCACCTCTAACTTGCTCGCAAGGGAAAAATGAAGGATGAAATGAGGGAAAAGGTTCTTGCAGCCCACTCGTACAAGCTGATGCACATTTGAATTATATTTATAACTCTGCCGTCAATTTGGACAAACACAAAAGAGCAGTCGTATTTCACATTTTGCATACAAAATAAGTATTTAATAGTACAGCAAACTGAAGACCCATGTAGAAAGTTCATGTGTAGGAACTCCAGTCATTTAATCTAATTTTTGGAAAATCTCTAAAATGAGACTTTGCCAAGAATTTGTCTCTTTCAAGGTTTGCCCGGTATACATTGAAGAACTTCAAATAAGGTCTCAGAGAAAATAAAACTACCCGAGAGAGATATTTTTCAAACTTCTGGTTTTGTCTTCTGCCACAAGGAGCTGTAGGCTGTGATCTGCTCTACTGGTCAGCACAGAGCAAAAAACCAGAATCATGAATTCTTCCCTGGATTTTGTTTAACTTGGAAAGAATCTGGAAAGGTTTACTTTGAACTTGAGTGTCAACCACAAAAACTTCCTTGTGTCTTTTGGCTGCTGACAGGGTAGGCTGCTCTTTTAACCTTGCGTGCACAGCGCCAACTGACCAGAGCTCAGACCGTGCTCCCTTTTCAAAGGATTGTCAGGAAAAGTATCATAAAGTATCATATTGTTTATATCTCCTTCCTAGTCAGCTTTTATCTTATCTGGGAGGATGAGAGATTTGATAACAAGTTACAGTAAGAGCTGTCTAAGTTCGGGACTGAACAACAAACAGACACCACTAGCCTAAGGAGGGGGATGTCAGAGCCTACTCCCGAAACTGGATCCTTTAATATCTCTGCACATGACGCATTAAGCTAGACAAAGTTTTTTGAAGTTTGATGACTAATTCTTTTCAAGCTTTCAAAGCCAAATTAAATGGGCTTTGGAAGCTGTGCTCCTGCACGAGAAAGGCAAGATGCTTTCCACCACATTTTAAGTAAGCATTTTTTCAGTAGGGCTCAGCACAGCTTGTACACTCACTGACTCCATCACCTCAAGAGGAAGAGTCACACCAAGCGTCAGTACTTGGAATATCACACCCTATGATTTGCAAGGGCATGAAGTGTGAAGCCTTCTTGAAGCGAGGCTGCCACAGAATTTATTTTGAAGACGTTTTGAAGACAAAAATCCTTAAAAGAGCACAATGAAATCATTTGTCTGCAAGATAAAGAATGGCTCATCCTATTACACTTCATGGGAACTAGACTACAGTATACTGGAGAAAGAACAGGAACTCAGCAATCATATTTTTTGCTGGAAAAATGATGAACCATGTAATTCTCAGAAAGAATATGATGCAAACTCAGTGAAGTCAAAAGGAAGATCCTGCCTGTTTTAATTTCCCTGCGGTGGTAATGTTTGTGTCTCCTGGAAGCTTGCAGAAATATTTTTTATGATGATCGCGGAGTGCCGTTTTTCCAAAGATTACTTCTAGTATTATTAAGCAGTGTATTATTTTTGGATTTAACCAAATTTTTTAAAATCAGCATGATTTAACTTTTTTTAAAACTGAAGTGGCAACATTAACCTTGGTCTGGATACAAAGCAACTATTTCTACAATCCTACTCTTCCCACACTAACCACTTTGAAGAGAAAAAAACAGCACATCGACGTCCTCAAAAGGCTTCTCAAGATAAGGAAAAAATACGGTCTGCTACTCAGAGAAAAGAATTCAGAGAACTTGAAGAGGATGGGGGGAAATCTTCTGACTCCTTTTGGACTGAGATGTTAACTCAGTGTAAACCCAGCGGATAACCTATTCAACCTCTGCAGGGCTCAGGATTACCTACACAGGGAAAGTATAAACAGGCTTGCCCTCCTCACAGGAGCACTGCGAGGCACTGTAAGCTACTGCTTGCCAAATATTTTAGCTCCTTGATAAAAAGCACTGCAGAATTGCAAAATATTATAATTTTAATCCCACTACTGATAATTGTTTGGGGGCAAGGAGGTGCCACTGGAGGATTTCTTCCTCCAAACGGCAGCACAAAGTAATTGCCGCCGCTCTGAGCAACAGCAGGTAGCACTGAAAAGAAACGTGTTTTAGCAAGAGTGCTGCTAAGCAACTGTGGGCGGGCTTTCGACTAAGAGCTCTCCCTACAGTGGTATCATGCACTGCAGCACACTAAAGAGGTTTTTCTTACTCAGTACATCAGGTTGGATGATATCGTGCAAATTTAGAGGACAGATCAAAGAACTGTTCACGCTGTGCCTCGGGGAATACCAGGGTGTGTGCCAGCCTTCCAAGAAATGTCTGGGATGGGGTGAGTGCTTGTGGGTGTGGGAAGGAGTTTCGCAGTTAGGCTTTACAATGGCAACAATCAATTTAATCTCATCAGCTTTTTCTTCCAAAATTTTCTCTTGTCTATCACATTTGGGAGACTCGAGCCTCATTCTGTTCCTGCTTATATCAGTGAAATTCAGCTGACTTTGGACAGAACTGTTGCTGGATGCATTAGGGCCCAATGCAGATGCAGTAGTTATTTTTCTAAAGATGATGAGCACCTGCTATTCATTTGAGTTTGCAAGTCTGGTTCCTGCAGGGGGTCACTTCCTTTTCTGTAATGGTTATGAAGGCAAGAAGAACAGTTTTGCTTTATTAAATCAAACAGTACATGAGAGTGAAGGTACAGGCACTGAAAATGTTTGTCATTCATCATTCACGTCTCCTCCCCACTTTTATTGTTACTAGAGAGGACAGACTCAGGGGAAGACACACGTGGTAGCTGAATGTCTTCTCTTTGACATTTAACTCAATAGCTAAAAAAAAATAATAGCCTTTGCCTCAAAAGTTCTTGGCATTTCTTGTTACTGTCTCACATCTGCAACATGGAGGTCATTAAAAGTTAATATTCACCAAAAAAAGATTTAATGGCAAGGAGACTAGACTCAGTTATTCTGTTTTATAGCGTTATTTGCTAATCAGTGCAGATATATTGATTTAACCAGCTTATCTGGCATACTTTTTGGTAATGCTACAAATAACATGAAAAATCCCTAAATGTAGGTTAGAAGCGTAGCTAACTGATCATCCAATGTTGGATCCAACATGTAAGCTTGTTATATTTGTTTAGCATCACCAAAATAGGGTAAACACTATATTTTAGAACAGACTTTTAAATTATTTCCCTCCCTCATTTCTATAAGAAAATCCAATTCTTTCCCTCCACCCCTTTGAAAAACACTTAACACTCACTGAAAAAAAGCAAAAATAAAACAACCCGTACCCACTCAGTTCTTAAAACTTACACAGTACATCAAGAAAGCACTTGCACAAAATTAAGACAAATTTTATCCAAGTGGAAGCCATGCTTGCACAGACATAAAAGTGAAACACATCTGAATAAGTCTACAGTATCACACCACGGTTTTGCATTCCTGGACCTTACCTTTGAAGAAAGGGATGTAATGATGTCTGAATGTAGATGTAGGGCTTGGGTGTTGGGGCAGGGAGATGCAGCTACTGGTACCAAGACTCTGAGTACCAGCTGGGGGCAACAGAGAGTAAGTGAAAATAAACTATTTAGTTCACTTACTGAAAGCCACAAATTACAATGCCATCCTTTTTTTCTGGAACATTTTCCTCCTGATGCTTAGAAAACATAGTTTATATTTGAGACTTGTGGTTATTGCTAAAAACATCACAGTGGCCATACTATGCGGTTGGCCAAGGGACACAGGCTTTCTGCAGACAGAAAGAGTATTATATAAAATGCTGATAATGTAACACATCAGAAAATATTCCAGAAAAGGCACCACAAAACCCATAGCGGCACTCAGGGGGAAATCTGCATATTCAAAAGCTGCAAGAGGGAATGATATATGCTCATAATGGATCTAATGAAATGAAATGGGGAGAGCCTTGTCTCTGCTGAGAACTGTGCTGCGAGTGGGTCCAGTTCTCACTGCTGTCGGTGCACACTGGTAGGATTTAGTCCACACAACGCACCAGGGCACTCAAGAGCAAGACTAATTTAAGCTTTGAAGAAACATCCTGCAGATATTTGAGCTCTGAAAGTTAGACATGTAATTGAGTACTTTGAAAAATGTTCTCAGAAGTCATCTTTGTTTACTTCTTGTAATAATGTCCCGATAACACATTTCAGAGGACTAATGGCAATTATTAAAAGTGGCCATTATGATAACTCTCTTCTAAATTTTCAATGAAGCTGTAAAACATTAGAATTAATCTGGAATTTCTTTTATCTCTCCTCCTTGCTGTAACAGTATGCAGCTAAACTTAAGCATGACACAGGTGCCAGATCTTCAGCAGAAACTAATCTTTCCTCTCTTTAATAGATCTTTGATACTCTATCTCATTTCCACTTCATCAAAGACTTTATGTAGTACGAATACTAAATTCCTTTAAAAAAATATTTGTGTTACACATAAAATTTTCATTTCCACTGGAAAGATTAAGAAGTCCCAATTTTCCAAAATAGTTTATAATCATAATGTATCCCCAACGAAATGAAAAGACACCAAGAAAATAATACAAACACTACATGTTTTCCACCCAAATGATAGAGTGGAGAAAAATTAGAATGAATTTTGAACAATTTAGTTGATTATTTCTAAGGATAAAACACTGTACTATGCCCAAATACAAATGGGCCTTTGTATGGGCCCCCCCTGCAAAGATTAAAGGGGTCATCCCTCCTCTCTGTGCAACATGAACACCAACACAGTTGCCACTGCAGCCCAAAGCTGCAATGAACATTGCTGTAAGCTTGTGAAATCAATCAACTTGGCCTTCAAAATCCAGCTATTAGAACCACTAGTCACTCCTCCAGCTCTTGCACCGTGGAGAGGAGACACAGACCATAACCCTGCAGTACAAGAAGGGGTAAGAAGTCATTCAATCATCCTCTTGACTTTGTGTGCATTCACTGCTACCATGCTGCACCGTGAAAGAGCTGTGGATTGAATGTGTGACTGTAGGCAGGATGGGACCAAGATTAGGTCCTTTAAACTGTTCTATCTTCTGTATATAGATACGACAAATCAATCTTTCTAGCCACCTGTTTTCGTTTTCTTAGACACTCATTCCTGAAGCACTTGTTTCCCTTCTCCCCATGGGACTCTGTTCACAGTAAATAAATCACTGCAATGAACTGTTACTCCACCTGAAACCCCTGCCTACCGGACTCTACCCTGCTTACAACATAAGACAAAGTAGTGGAAAAATCTAGAGAATAAATAAGGCTGCTTTTCAAATACCTGGTCTGCTGTAATGTTGAGGAGAATGGGATGTTGGAGTGTAGCGACCATAGCCCAGCGAGCCAGCAGAGCTAGGACTTGACGTCCTGTACTGCTTGAAAGATCTGTCATCTTGGTCACCCTGAGAGGAAGAGGAAATATATGTCATTAGGGAAATCACTTCTGAAACAGGCAGAATATGCAATTTTGCACATTTTCGTGCCATGTAGATGGACGTCGTTGCTGTCGTAACGCTCCATGCAATCCCAATGAAACGAGGTGGCTTTGAGCTGTAAGCACCTCCACCACAATGTGACCAAAGGAGCTCTGCCAAGTATCAGAGAACGGTCATGTTTCCAGGGAAGTCAGCACATACATGAATTTAAAATGACAATACAATTGGAAAAGAATATAACACTGTAGAAGTGTTTTTTTCAGGACAGTATAAGTCCCTGAACATACACGGGTGGGTGAACGATGAGATCAGATTAGCACAATAGTACTCTGGTCACTTTGTACCCATATGAATGGATGCATAATGGTTACAGGCAACAGAAAAAACAGTATTTTTGGCTTCATTACATCACAGAAAAACTATATCAGCTGTACAAATTGCCCAGCATACCATATACAACATGGTCATTACTAGCTGACATAAACACTCATATATAGCATTAGCGTGAATACTGCAGCATTGTGCAGAACAAGTCATACAACCCTTTTCCCACTAAAACCTTGGCTTCAACCATTTAAAACTATAACACTCTCTATAGCTTGTTCAATTACAATTGCAATTTGCATGTAGTGTCTTCTTAACAGTAAAAGCATTACTAAGGGAATTAGATCTGGAAATGACTTTTTGTAAACTAGCTATAAAAGCAAATTCAAATTTCTTGTTTCTTTTAAGACAAACAAGAATTGGCTCGAGTTAACTTCAATTAGAACAAATCAAGGTAACCTGCAGATACTCCCTTATGGAAAGTCACACTCCAAAAAATGGTTCCCCTCTCCTATTCCAGTAGGAATGAGTGAAAATATGCCATACTGTAACAGGTGTTAGTCACTTGTCATGAGTCCTGGGCCATCTTTAGGCACCTGTGTGACTCTCATAGGCTCATTCATCATCTAAACACACAGGAGATCCTACTTATCCCCATCATCATCTCCCAGATTCCTATCAGGACAACTTAATTATATCCATCCATTCATCTTTAGATGAGTGCAGTTTCCCATTTGGCTTCCCTGGAATTATCCTTGACTCTCTGGAGATGTGCAATGTTCTCCCATCTGGCTCAAGTATGCTCCACCCCTTCCACCTCACCCCAGGCTGCACTTCCAAAAATGGAAAATCAGTTTTGTATAGTGGTAAGTAGCACTACTGCTTTAATATCCATTTCAGAAGAAACTATACAAAAAAGGGAGAACAACTGATGCCTTCCCAAGCATGCAGCGTTCTGTAGGCATTCCGCCACCAACCCCTCTATACCCAGTTTGAGATGTTTCCCTACTGAAGTAGCTACATTATTTAATACCCATTTTAACCCTTGCAAAGAGAATTACAAGCAATATAGAAATGTCTAGAAAGTCTTGCAATGATATTTACCATACAATGTTAACTAACGGTCTGTGATGTGTCCAATTGTATGATACAGTGGAATTTCCCCCTAATAAAAATCCCTGCAACAAAACTGGTGCCAAGTTTGCAAATGATGATGCCTGAGCACCTGATCATAGACTTTAGAGAAAGACAGCAATCATGGCAAAGCTAGATAATCTGGAGAACTGACATAACACAAAAGATGGCAGCATCAACCAGTATCACTTCTGTAACTTAATAGTATGACTGTTTACTAACTGGTAGATTATTTAAAGGAAATTATTATAATCATCCAAAACATCAAGATTTCACATTGATTGTTTCACACCTTACCTTCTGAGTACTTTGTGTCTCTGTAAGGAACAGTCAATCAAGTTCATGAAATCCAATATTAAATAAAGCACATTTTTATTTTTAAACTGTCAATTAAATTACATTTCTATTGGTTAACTTCTCCGTTTAACCAATGCTCATAGTGACAGTTGGTGATTTACAATCCTCAATGAAAATTCGCAATTCCCCACTACTAACAAAATTTTACAAAACAGTTCTCTTAACATAGAATTGGGAATGGAGAAATTAGCCAGGCCTGTGATATGTAATTGAGTAATTGTATCTGGCAAGCTGTGTGAAATGCTTTCACTGCTTCCAATGTGGTGTTTCTTGAAACAATGACTGGCTTTGATCATTAATGCACATCAAAATACACAGACCTACAAGTTCAGGTATGTGCAAATGATTTAACAGTATGTGTGCACAAATAGTCTAAGTAGTTTAACTATTTGTGAAATAAAAAAAATAAAAAGAAAAAAAAAGAGAAAGCTAGATCGAGCATTAATTTAAGTCAACTCATGCTGGCAGCTTTAAATGTAAACATAAATCATATTTCCCAATGTAATTTATTTAATAGAGCTTGAAGAAGTGACCACAATACAACCTTTATTTTGGAAAGCGGAAACATGGATGACAGTGGAGATAGATGCATACAGATGACAATCCAGAAGCAGAGCGCATATTCAACACAAGTAACACTGTGAAAAACATAAATTACAAAACCCCATGCGCTGTAGAGGCAGGAGGCAAACCCCACATTTCAGACACTGCTGGTTATCAATATGACCAGGTTTATGCATCACAAAATGGGTCAGAACGGGAGTACAAAGGCACTGGGGATTACCTCAGTAGGTGTTGGAGAGAGCAACTGAGGTGACTGTAAACAGCAACACACAACAAATTAGTGATACAAATTCATGCATGATGTTACTTGTGAGAACTACTCTAAAAATATCGATATCCATGTATAACACAATACAGTTATGAAAAACACCTGTCAATTCAGTTAGGGCAATTTTTCTTTTTATTTGGTTTTAAAGTAGTAAATAAGGAATAATATATAAATAATTTCGTATAAAGCTTTTGTTGATTTCCTAACTACAAAATCCTGGAGTCTGGTGAGGCTGGTACTGTACCACAGACAGTGCTGCCAGTAGGGAAATTCTCATTTAAAGCAACTGCCTGAGACTAGACACAAGCCCTAATTAAATCTGCATTGAAGCAGTTCCAAAATCTGGACTAGAACTTCACTGCTCAGAGCTGGCTGTAATTTGAAAATTTGTTGTTCGTTCATTTTCCTTTCAAATCTAAAGGCTAAACATGGTTAGTTGAGCAGAAATCTACTGAAACTATTGCAGGTGCAGGTGTAGCCAGGATGCTGAAATCTGGAAGACAGGATATACATATGAACAAATTGGGGGACAAGAGGCTGGAGAGCAGCCCTGAGGAAAGAGATCTGGGGGTTTAGGTTGATGGCAAGTTGAATATGAGTCAACAATGTGCTCTGGCAACCAAAAGGGCCAGCCGTGTCCTGGGGTGCATCAAGCACAGCACAGCCAGCTGGTCGAGGGAGGTGATTGTCCCACTCTACGCTGGTGTGGCCCCACGTTGAGTACTGCGCGCAGCTTTGGGCACCTCAACATAAGGACTTCAGACTATTAGAGTGTGTCCAGAGGAGGCCGACCAAGATGGTGAAAGGCCTCACGGGCAAGAGTTACTAGGAGAGACTGAGGCCACTTCGTTTGTTCAGCTTGGAGAAGGCTCAAGGGTGCCCTCATCACACCCTACAACTTCCTCAAGGGGAGCAGCAGAAGGGGACATGCTGATCTCCTCTCTCTGGTGACTAGTGATAGGACACGAGGAAATGGAATGAAGCTGCATCAGCAGAAGTTCATATTGGACATTAGGAAAAGGTTCTTCACCAAGAGGGTGGTCAGTCACTGGAACAGGGTCCCCAGGGAAGTGGTCATGGTACCAAGCCTATCAGACTTCACGAAGCATTTGGACAATGCTCTTAGTCATATGGTTTAGGTTTTGGTAGTCCTGTGAGCAGGGACTCGATGACCCCTATAGGTCCCTTCCAACTTGAGATATTCTATGATCTTTTTTTTCCCCTGGCAATATCACAGAATCACAGAATGGTCGGGGTTGGAAGGGACCTCTGGAGATCATCTAGTTCAACCCCCCCGCCAGAGCAGGGTCACCTACAGCAGGTTGCACAGGACAGCATCCAGGCGGGTTTTGAATGTCTCCAGAGTGGGAGACTCCACAACCTCTCTGCGCAGCCTGTTCCAGTGCTCCACTACCCTCAAGGTAAAGAAGTTCCTCCTCATGTTAAGATGGAACTTCCTATGTTCAAGCTTGTGCCCATCACCCCTCGTCCTATCACTGGGCACCACTGAAAAAAGACTGCTCCCATCCCCCTGGCATCCTCCCTTTAAGTATTTGTAAGCATTAATAAGATCCCCCCTCAATCTTCTTTTCTCTAGACTAAAGAGACCCAAGTCCCTAAGCCTTGCCTCATATGAGAGATGTTCTAATCCCTTAATCATCTCTGTAGCCCGTTGCTGGACCCTCTCCAACAGATCCCTGTCTTTCTTGAACGGGGGAGCCCAGAACTGGACGCAGTACTCCAGATGCGGCCTCACCAGGGCAGAGTAGAGGGGGAGGATGACCTCCGTCGACCTGCTGGCCACACTCTTCTTGTTGCACCCCAGGATGGCATTCACCTTCTTGGCCACCAGGGCACATTGCTGACTCATGGTCATCCTGTTGTACACCAGGACTCCCAGGTCCCTTTCCACAGAGCTGCTCTCCAGGAGGTCAGCTCCCAACCTGTACTGATGCATGGGTTATTCCTCCCCAGATGCAGTACCCTACACTTACCCTTGTTGAATTTCATCAGGTTTCTCTCTGCCCAACTCTCCAGCCTGTCCACGTCACGCTGTATGGCGGCACAGCCTTCTGGCGTGTCAGCCACCCCTCCCAGTTTTGTGTCATCAGCAAACTTGCTGATGGTACACTCCATCCCTTCATCCAGATCATTGATGAATATATTGAACAGGACTGGACTCAGTACTGACCCCTAAGGGACACCACTTGTTACTGACCTCCAACTAGACTCTGCGCCACTAACCACAACCCTCTGAGCTCTGTTAGCCAGTTCTCAATCCACCCCATGTCCATTCATGTAACCCACACTTCCTAAGCTTGCCTGCGAGGATGATGTGGACGACAGTGTCAAAAGCCTTGCCAAAGTCAAGGTAGGGCATCCACTGCCCTCCCCTCATCCACCCATCTAGTCACTTCATCATAGAATGCTATCAGATTAGTCAGACATGACTTCCCCTTGGTGAATCCATGCTGACTACTTCTGACAACCTTCTTTGCATCCAGGTGCTTTGAGATGAGATCCAGTACAAGCTGTTCCATCATCTTTCCAGGGATGGAGGTGAGGCTGACCGGCCTGTAGTTTCCCGGGTCATCCTTCTTGCCCTTTTTGAAGACTGGAGTAACACTGGCAATTCTCCAGTCCTCAGACACCTCACCTGTCCTCCAGAACCTTTCAAAGCTGATAGAGAGCAGCCCAGCAATGACTTCCCCCAGCCACCTCAGCACTTGAGGGTGCATCCCATCAGGCCCCACGGATTTGCGTATATCCAGTTTATCTAACTGATCTCTAACTTGCTTCTTGTCAACCAAGGGGAAGTCAAAGGATCAAGGATGTAAATACCTGGAGCATTGTGAAAATGTGCACATTGGATTGCAAGCATAGCCCAACATCCCCTCCTGGTTTAGGCACTTTGAAACAGATGACCGGACCCCACTTTTTTATTTTTTAAGATATCACTGAGATCTTGCTGACACAAATATCTACATCAGCACAGACCTATCTGAAACAGTATTAAACTGGTGGTACCAACACTGTAGGTGTCTCCTACAGCCCAAAGGGAAAAAGCCCCCATTCAGGATGTGGTCCCTTTTATCTTCTGTTAAGTTATATGTTTACCGAAATGGTCAATGACTCCAGTTGTGCCAATAAACCCCTCCTGTTTTGGTCTCACCACTCAGTTACCCACTAGCAGGTGACAGACAGCCCACTTTGCTGTGGTTTTCTATCTTCGGTTGGTTGGTTGGTTTTTTTAGAGCTCAGTTGCAACTACCTTCTATCCCACTCCTGAAAGTGTGATGCTGAGCTCCCACAGTTCACAACCGCTGGGTCCCAGCAAAGGCTGGGCTGCCACCACGACAGGCAGTTTCACCGCACCATCAGGTGTTTGTCCGGCCTGTGCGATCTCCAGCCTTTGAGTGAGGTCAAGGAGTCAGATCATGCCAGGGGTTCAGAAGAAACCTAAGCCCTACCACAGCCACATGGACACTTGCTCTGGCAAAGGAGGGAAGCAGAGGCAAGACGCCAAGGAAATGCTGAGGGCAGGCAGGGGAAAATTCTATCCAGCAGCAGCACAGATTTATGCTGGGTGTGATGGTTTTATAACCACCACCTTGGAGTGGGTGCGATGACTCTGAGTCCTCACAGGAGCTAGGCAGAAGGTGGTTTGGTTGATGCACCTCCGCCAAGGCTAGCTGTAAACAGGCAGTTGAGGAGGGCCACAAACATTATCAGCACCCACAAATTTTGACACAGAAAGGAAATGTTTATACTCAATAGGTTCAGGGCTAGCAAGCAGCTTTCAGTTTTGTGAATTCAGACACCTAAGCACCATTTAAACCCTCTACCAGATATCATCTTAATTCTCTTAAAACACAATACAATAAATACTGTGGTTCAGCATCGTACTGAGAGGGTTTGGAAGATCTAACATAAATGCTGCACTTTACCTGACGGTAGTACTGAGACTTTAGTAGTAGATTAAGTGTAAAAGGTGTAAATGATAGCAGGACTAGGGCTCTTATAAACAGTATGGCTATCATTTATGGTATTTCTTTCTACCCATTCACTTACGCCTATAGAGAACAATGCAGACTTCCAGTCTAGACTATATAGATTGACAGTATACCTAGTATTTATAATAGGTTTGATTTGTAAAAAAGTATCTAAAATTATAAAAGAAATCAGAAATCCAAACAAAAGGTAGATATGATTAGGGAAGAAAAGCTAACTTGCATGACAGGAGTTATATACAAATATGCTTCATAAAAAACAGAATTAGTATTAGTAAGATTATGTGAGATTAGGTTTCATTAGCAGAAACTGCGTAATATTAGCTCTGCATATGAATAGGTTGAAATGCATGTGTGACATGAGGATGAACTTTAGTAAGGGACAGTTGAAAGAAATCTGTGCACAGGAAAGTGATACCATTGTTGTGTTACCAAAATAACATGGTACACTTTAAAAAAAAAAATAATGACAGACATTTGGCTTCGCTTCTGATTTTTGCATTATAATTAGCAATGGCTCCTGTTTCCTACCACATGCATGTAGAACTCTTCTCATAGAAAAACATATTTTAATTACATGTCATCTGTTTTAAAAATGATCACAGAAAGCAATTCTTTAATTTCCACAAACTAAAAAAGTGAAATGAACATCTAGTTTTTTTGGAAGGCCTTGTGAATGAATGAATGACGATTCAACTAGATGAAGTTATAAAAGTTAGGGTTTTTTTTAATTATGCACGTTTAACAGTGTTCAGCAACATGTTTAACAATGCATGTAAAATCTTAAATTCATAGTAAAAAAAATACCCATGTTTCAGTACCTCCCCGTAACTATGCCTGTCATCTGAAGAGTAACTGATATATGGAGAATAGGAGATCATATCTGGGCGGTCAATGTTATAGATGGCTTTATTTTTAGGAAGAGCAGCCAAATCCCTGTAGTCAAGAATTTCATCTCCAAGCTTTGCCTAAGAAAAGGAGGAAAGAAAGCAGTGAGAATAAGACAGAATATGATCAGGATGCAATCAGAAAAGGACAGGTAAGCATAGGTAGAAAAGTCATCATCCTAATAATAAACCACTTTTTCTGTTTGTATGCATTTAAATCTTTTATATTTACTACACAATACTAAACAGTACTGCTGTTTTCTTTTTATATACTGGCGCTTTCTACTTTTCTTTGTCACTCACATTTGGCTAATGCGAGCAGCATGGCATCATTCCAGTTCCCCTGGTTATATCCTGCTTACCACTAGCTGCACAAACAGACATGGGGAACACATATTGTAGTCTCTTTCAGGCAAAATGCCCTTCATTTTACAGTGCTTTTGGTGTGCAGGGTTCCCCTACCATAAGCAGTAACGAATAGTCAAATACGTATTCCCAACATAAAACTCTCCAGATGCTGGAAAACATTAGTCAGGTCTTTAATTTTTGCCATTCAGTTGTGTCCCGCAGCTTCACCTCCTTTCCTGACTACGTCTAAGTAGCCCTTAATTATGGGTCACAAATCCAGCAGATGATGGATTGGCACCATGGTGGATTAGTTGGAAGATCACAGATGCCACTTAAGAAAAGTTCAAATCCTTTCATGAGACTCACACAGCCAACGGAGGGAAAGGGCTGTGTCACTCCCCATTCTCCTCTTACTACGCTTATTGCAAAAGTATAATTACCAAATGCCACATTTGCACAGATTATCCTTAGGATAATGGTAATGTGCACCAAAACTGTATCCAGCATGTACTGTCTTGTAGATATGACAACTTGGCCACATCGAGCGTGGAGAAAAGGGCAGCTTTGCAGACTGATAAGCTCTTTGTTGGCAATAAAATGATGAGTGAATCTCACTACTCTCTGAAAATCTCAGTATGATCAGCTATAAAACTATAACAATGTTTTCCACATGCAAAAATATGAAAGTATCCAGGATTTACGCGTGCAGTGATTATATTTTTTCTTTGTATGAGCTAAGAAAAGTTCAATAGATTTTCCAGGGAAGTTTTCTATTAGGTTAATCATACAGGAGAAATTTAGTGTGACAACTTTCATTTGTCCCTTTTCTAAAACAATGTAAGAATTTGTGCAAGCATAAGCAACACAGAAAGGAGGAAGATTACTCTTAACTAAGAAAGTGGAACAAAGGCACCATAACCATCACATATTCTCATCCTCAAAACTAATGAAAAGAATGCTTTTTAATCAAATATTAAATTAGGAAGAAGTTTTTCACTTTAAGGGTGGTAAAGCACTGGAACAGGTTGCCCAGAGAGGTTGTTGAGGCCCCATCCCTGGAGGTGTTCAAGGCCAGGCTGGATGTGGCCTTGGGCAACCTAGTCTAGTGGGAGGTGTCTCTGCCTATGGCAGGGGGGTTGGAACGCGATGATCTTCCAGGTCCTTTCCAACCTAAACCATTCTATGATTCTATGAAATATGCGATTCTTCAGTGATCTACAGATCTCACCTTCCTTGCAGCTACTTTAAGAAGCTAAAGAGCAATGAAAATAAATTAAAATAAATCCCTCCCTACTGAGAAGCCAGTGGCAAGCTCTGATGCTGGGACAGATCAGGCAAAGATAAGGAGGAGTCTGTCCATCGGGTCTATTTCAGGAAGACTTTAGACTGCATTGTACCTACAAGAAGGCCAAGAACGCTGTAATAATTTCTTTTTTAAGGTACCCAGAGCTGTGGAGATTATTCTAGTGAATCCAAAGAAGGTTTGAATTGGGAATATTTAAATGTGAATTATGGTAGTTTTAGCGCCTATCTCTCCATGTAGAAGTGCAACTTAAGATCCTCCCCTTAGACTGCAGAGCTGTCAGGAGTAAAACATCTAGTTACGTAACTCCTTTCAGTTTAAATATCAAAATGTAGGCAAGTTTGGATGAAAAAACAACTTAGAGATACAGTTGCTTTCTACACACTCAATTCTACAAACATTCAGCCTACGTGTTTTTTTTTATTTTATTTGTTTCACCTACTTTCAAATACGTGAGTGGAATTCGAATATGCTAGGGAAGGCTCAAATTAGAGCTAAGAGGCTTTAAGCCATTTCTTCAGTGATCTCGTATTTTGGATTCTGCTAAAAAACATGCTCTAAGTTTAGAATATCTATTTCATTTGGAATATGTAATTTTATAATTGTATAATTGCAAATATGATCTTGTATAAAAATATAACGTAACTTCTGTTCTTAGTATGACAACACAGCTATGTAACCTAACCTTCCAGATAAATACATCTTTGCAAGGAGCTTGTAATTCTTTCTTCAGAAAATTTAGATAAGTATAATGAAGGACTTTTATTTAAGCCCTATTTAATGGCATATTTTAGAAATTAACTGGTTTTTAATTGATGTTTAAGGACTCTGGGGGGATGTCTGCCCTGGGGTAAACTTCAGTCTAGACAGAATCCATCCATCACTAAAGTTAATGAAAAGATGCCTATTAACTTCAAAGGGCATTGGCCTATGCCCTCTCTCTGTGCAAGAAGACACCAAAGTCTGGTATCAACAGAAGAAGAAAAAGAAGTACAGCTTTAGTAAACGGGCTG